GCCGCGGCCGCACGTGGCTTTATTTATATTGTTTCCTTAGTGGCAGCCTCGCCGTGCAGGGGGCGCCGCGGTTCCGCGCGGCTTCCCGTGTCTGCAGTGGGAGTTCCCCCACGTTTTAGGGCTGCGAGAGGGAATAGGTGAACTCATAGCCCCAGTCAGCACCAGCTTGCCGGATCCGGATCGAGCCAGGAGGAGATGGGAGGGTGGAATTGGCAGGGTTGGAAGTGAAGTGACCGATTTGTGCCCCGGAGAGGCAGGGAGAAAGGTCCCAGAAGCTGGAAAGGAAGGTAACTAAATATAATTTATTTCCTACAGCTAGGTATCTGGGGTCAGGGCCTGAAGTGTGTACGGATCTGAAGATTCTTCCAAATTCTAGGTTCGCCTTGCACAAACTTGGATGAACTCATTTTTCTACCTTAAGTCCGTTTTGGTTTGCTAGAAGAGATAAAAACATACAGTGAATGGGGTGACGGTAGGAGAGGTGTTCAGGACAATGGGTTATTTTATTTATTGGCAGGTTACAAACGCCAGACTTTTTCTGGAGTGATTAGTTTCTGTTAGGCTTGAAAAGAGGATCAAAGTCAGATGTGGCTGAGAAACACAATGGGCGCCTTCCGGAGTGGTCCGCGCCCAGCGCTGAGCTGTTAGGGTGGCTCCCGTCGCCCTGGGCATACATTACGGGAAGCAGGGAGCATTGAGGAGTGAGGATTCTGAGGACCTGCCTTGAGGAGAAACAAATCATTTCTGGGGATTTGTAATCAAGGAACCACAACGATCAGGAGGAAGATGAAGCAACGCTTCCCTCACACACACCCATACTCCATTCGCCCCCAGTCAATACGCGAGACTTTAAGACCGCCTGTGCACTAAATGCAAGAGGTGACAGAGCATTATTTGATCATCGAATGCTTTATCCTGGCGGGGGCCAGGGGCGATGTGTATATACTTAGGATAAAGCCTTTCCTCTGCTCTGATAAAAATGTGTATTGGTTGATTAAGCAATCTCCTATCCCTATTAGACAGTAAGGACCAATTAGTCACGCATTTTTTCCAACAGTTGGTAGTTCTAAAAAAGTGAAATAAAAGTTTCCTAATCCGATCACCCACTGAGTACAAGCAGCAAGAGTTACCAACTTTTCAGAGTCTATTGTTTGTCTTTTAAATACCTCGCTTGCTCTGCAGAAATTAAGTAAATGGATTTCTTTCAAGGAGAGGAGATAGAGTCCCTGCTGTAAAAGGGCAGATAGAAAAACGCAAACTTGTAATTTGTCACAAAAGATAAACGCAGTTCCCAAAGGAGTAGGTGCCAAGGGTTCCAAGAACACTTCAAGGGACAAGGAAATAAACTTGCTTGTTCACAGAGTTGGAGTTTTGCTAATGATTTCTTGTAAAATTAGACTTTTACGACTTACTCTGTTCAAGATCTTTTTGACAAGCTTGTAAAAGCAAACAGCTTGTGCTCATGAGTTTTCCTGATGATTCTGAAACTCTAGCAAGGAACTTGAGAGAATTCATACAAGGCATAGAAGCTATTGAAACCTTCCCTATGCTTTTGGTGAAGATGTAAAAAGTAATTTCTCTGACTTTTTGAAAGAGTTTGCTGAAATTTAGATTGGTTCATTAAGGTGTTTGTAAGCTAACTAATAAAATTTGTTAAACTTTGTCATCTTATACCCTGAATATGTGTTTTACAGTTGTGTTAAGGAACATTTTATGCCTGTAATTCTGGATGTGCCGTTCTCCTTTTTTCCTTACAGAAGTGTGGTGCTTTAGTGAACTGTCTTTTGTAAAAGAACCGCAGGATGTAACTGTCACAAGAAAGGACCCAGTCGTTTTAGATTGCCAGGCTCACGGAGAAGTTCCTATTAAGGTCACATGGTTGAAAAATGGAGCAAAAGTGTCTGAAAATAAACGGATCGAGGTTCTTTCTAACGGCTCTTTATACATCAGTGAGGTGGAAGGCAGGCGAGGAGAGCAGTCCGATGAAGGATTTTATCAGTGCTTGGCAGTGAACAAATATGGAGCCATTCTTAGTCAAAAAGCTCATCTTGCCTTATCAAGTAAGTGTTTAAGTTTTTGGTTGTTGACATTTTTCATTGCTACCTTTTGATGATTTCTTGCTTTATTAATATAATAATCGCCCAGGTCATGCATACATTAAGAATTTTACTGGAGGTAATAGTTGATGCTGAGGCGTATAGAGAAATCTGAAGAAAATACATATAGAAATTCAAATGAGTAATTGAGAACAGAAGTCAAATTAGGTTTAGAACACCAAGTAAAATGAAACCTGTAGAGGTGGCTTTATAAAAATTTTAAGCATTTCACACAGTATGAAGAGTTGGATGTAGAAGTTTGGCCAACACAACAAAAGTTGTTCTAAAATTTAATCTTATGGAAATTAGTAATTAATGAAAACAATCACAAGCAAATTTTTCTGCTTTGCAGATGGCTCTTGAGTGCTAAATCTTTCTTATAGCACAACCTTCCATTTCTCTGACTGCTTTTAGATCACCCATGTTGCCTTTTAATTGTACAAAGGGCATTGGTCAGTCACTCTTAAGCCTTTGAAGTATTCCTGGTCTTTTCCTGCTGGGAGGGAAAGAGATTAAGGCCATTTCCATATTATGCCTAATGGACTTAAACCCCGTATCTGCTCACTTTTCCCCTATTGTCATAAAGTGTGCTATCTAATGATTTCTTTTGTATTAACAACCCCATCAGATCAACCATTTGTCCAAGTGATCCGTTGCTTGGTGGCTGACCTGTAACTGTTGAGTGTAAAGATGGGCCTAGGACAAGTGCTGAACTCCTTGAGCCTACTGAGGCTTTACACCTTTTTCAGGTGATGAAACACAGCTCTCAAGTTTAGTAGACTAAATCTTGAAAACCAAAATTGAATCTTAAAAAGTTTTAAGGCGTTTGACCTTCATGCTTTTGTTAATCCACAAAACATAGATTTTGCACTGTACCTACAAATTGATCTTTTACAAGTTGAGCAATAGGTAGATGGCGTTCTTGAGATAAATGTATAATCTTAGCTGGGCTGGTGGCTAGCCTGTAATCCCAGCTGTTGAGGAGGCTGAAGCAGGAAGACTCCTTGAGCCCTGGAGTTTGAATCCAGCCTGGGAAACAAACTCCATCTCTTTAAGGAAAAAAAAAAAAAAAAAACCCGTAATATTTAGGAAATAGTTGTTTCAAGTTCTATACAGTTGAAATTTAGGAAGCTATTGGCAGGAATTTCCTAGGTGACTAACTACTGTTAACAGTTCATGTTCCATTTATTCCATCCTTATATTACTGATTTATTTTATTCTGTAATAAGGATTAATTGTAGAAAATATATTGCAAGCAAAGATATTTCTATATCGATACATCAGAAAATCAGAGGTTTGCAGTTCTAGCCACACTCCTACCCCTGCCAAAGAATAGAATAAACCTGAGAGGATTTCTGATTTTTCATTTCTTCCTTCCTCTCTCTCCCCTGCCTCCTCCTCCCTTCCTACTTCCTTCCTTTATCCCTCCCCCCTCCCTTCCCCCTTCCTTTCTCTGTCCTTCCTCCTGTCCCTTCCTTCCCTCCCCTCCTGTCCCTCCCATTCTCCCTCCTTGCTTCCCTACCTTCCTTCCTTCCTCCCTACCTTCCTCCCCAACCCTCTTCTTCCTGTCCCTTCCCTCCCCTCCTCTCCCTCCCATTCTCCCTCCTTGCTTCCCTACCTTCCTTCCTTCCTCCCTACCTTCCTCCCCACCCCTCTTCTTCCTGTCCCTTCCCTCCCTCCGCCCACCCGCCTGCCTCCCTCCCTCCCTCCCTCCCTCCCTTCCTTCCTTCCTTCCTTCCTTCCTTCCTTCCTTCCTTCCTTCCTTCCTTCCTTCCCCCTGTAATCATTGGCCAATAATTATTTTTTTCATGGTGTAACAGTTTTTCTGTATAGTACTGTTTTAAAGATAATGTGCTTTTTATGCTTATATTCTGTTCATTCAATTTTTGTCCAATGTAAACTTGTTCTATACAGTTGTAATTTTCCCACCTTTTGGGATTTGTAGAATTTTGTGTTTTCATCTTCAGGAACTGTAACTTATATTATCTCTCAGGGATAGGGAGTAGGTGGTAGAGGTGGCCGGATAGGCCATGGGAAGATGAAGCATTTATCATGACCACACATTGTTTCCAGGACCTCCTGAGAAGCCTGACAAAATTCTGGGTCTTCCAGAAACACTTGGAAAAACACAGAGCTTTCTAACTTCATAAATAAAATCTGAATGGTGTGTAATAGGTGTAACAAACAAAATGTCAGGACAGGCTTTCTAAATATCTTTAGATTTTTGTATCTTTATAGAAATTGTCACTGTTAATAAATAATTACATGTGATTCATTTTGCAGGCAATTGTGAAGTTTTTTATGTATCTTTTAAATTAACAAAGTTCTGATATCTAAGAAATAAGTTTAGATGATGGAGGCTCAAATCCTTTTATCCTATGTTCAGAGTAAATATATATATATACATACACAGGAAGAGAATAGGCATTAAGTGGACATTCTGGTTTTCTTTTCCTCCTTGTTTTTAAAGCTAGTTCTCTTTTAGGTATTGATAGCAGCAGGGTACAAGTGTGGTGTTTTTCTTAGTCAAGGATTTTATCAGTAAGCATATTATTTTTGTTTGTACAGAAGCACAATAGTACAGCACCTGGAAATCTAAAACTTTAATCTGTGCAAGTTTTAGATTTTTAACACACAGGCAATCAAGTCTTGGTCTCTAAGCTTAGGAACTAGAAGCTGAAAGTTGCACTCTAGGCAAGAATTCCATTATTCATGTGTAAATTAGGAATTCACAGGGTTAAAAGGTTAGAAACTGGCCAGGATGAGGTTTACCCTTGTGATAAAGAGCAGATGACCCTCATTCATTGGCCAAAGCTTTCATGTAGCTCTTCTGCAAAGTTAGTTATTGCCATGAATTGTTCTTGAGGAATGCAGAAATTCAAATGTGAACAGGCCTTTCCTTAAGTGTCACTATGGAGCCTTATCTCCGAAGCACATCAGAGCAGGGCTGCAGGGACAAGGTTCCTCCCCAAAGGCCTGGAGGCTTTGCTTTCCTGTTGTTCATTCAAGCACAAAAGAATTCATCTAACTTAGTTTTGCTAAGGCATCCCATTTTTAAAAGAAAGTATAGGGTTAAAGTAATATTTAGCTTTAAAAAAAGATAATCCTTTTTATTAATAGCCATGTTAGCTGTCTTACATTTTCATGTAATTGGAATAGAAAGAGGAGTGACACGGGACACTCTTTTTCTAGTTGTGTACAATAGCAAGAACAGAAGATTAAACTATTTCCTATACATTTCAGTGTTTTTAAATTTTAGCAAATGGAGTTTTCACTTTCATGGGTACTAAGTTTTTGTTATCTAAATTTAAATATTTTAGGAATAAGAAATAACCTATGGGTATCTTAACTTTTCTTGTATTCTTAATGTTGAAATAAGATAAATTTCATAGGAAAGCATTAGTGTGGTAAAAATGGTCTCATGTTTCAACAAGTTTAAATTAAGATAAGAGACATTTGAGAGAAGTAAAGGAGGAGGCGGGCTGTGTTCTGTGATGTATAAAAGACTGGCTGTAAGCTAGTGATTGAACAGGAAGCTAGTTGTTTATTTCCTTTCCATAAAAGGTGGAAATTGAAGTCTTAGGATAGAGGGAAAAAGAGCATAAAGCTAGCTTACATTTCTTTGATTTTCCAGGACTGTTCACTTGGGTAAAAAATAACTTTTTATGTGACCCTTTGTAGCTGGACAAGCATAGGAATTATTGTAACTTTATGATTTTTTAACCAAAATTTTAACGTTGATTTTGCCATTGGTAAGGTTGTTTGGGGGTGCATTTCTATAACTTTTTAAAGTAGTAATAGTTGTTTCCATTACAAAGATGTAGATTTTTTATTAATAAAAACATTCATCAATTTAAATTACGATGGAATTTGAGGGTTTATGTGGGATTAATGAAAAACTGTTCTTTGGGTGAGGCTTGCATATTAAAAAATAATGCATAAATTATAAAACCAAGTCTTTGAAATGTGAAGTTAAAAATATATTAAAAACATTTGAAGAGTCATGTTAAAAAAAAAAAAAAGAGGGGGAAGTGATATATTGAAAAGGGAACCCTAAGAACTATGAGACTGTATGCTAGATTTTGGATTTTATTAATGATCCTGGATCCGAAATAGGCTGGACTTTGCTACACTGTCACTGTTTTATTGAGAGCCGTAGGCACTGGAAAGGACTCAGTTTCCTACATGCGGGCCTATTCACTCGAAGTCAAGCTGTGAGCAGTTACCTGGCCTAATTAAAGAATGACAAAACATGAGTAAAAGTCATTTGATTTTGGAAAACTCAAGCCAACAGAACTGAGGTATTTAGAGAAACCAATCTGCCAACACTGTAGATAAGGTGCAGTTGATGTTTTCTGGGATCCAAAAAAATTCACCTTTAAAAAGAGGAGGCGTGGTTCAGAAGTACATGTTTAACTTAAAATTGGCTCTCTTAATATTGCATAAGTCAAGTGAAGGAAGTAGAAATTGCATGTATAGTTCTACAGGCTTTTATAGAATGACACTTGGTTCTTACAGTCTGTCTACTTAAAGTCTATCAGGTGCCTGATAATCGCTGGGTAATGGAACCAGTTTTTCTCACTTTGCACTTGATTAGTGAGGATCATTTCTCATTTTCAGAAACCTGTAACATTATCTCACTCTGTTTCGAAGTTGGTGGATTTTTATTTTTTAGCAAAGCATGGTCCAATGAAGGGTAGAATTGGAATTTTAAGATGTATAAAAATGTACTTATTTTATTTTGTTTTATTTATGTCCAGATTCTTAATGGAATTTTGAAAGGGTGTTTGGTATGGCTCCTTTTTGTCAGCTATCTCTGATTATTCTAAAGAAAGGATCTCACTCTCAGTGGTGTTTGCCCTGGGGTTTGTTGTCATTGCTCCCAAATTTAACAGCTGGGTCTATTGATGAAGTCCAGAGCAATTTAAAATAATAGCGAGCAACAAATCTTTTAAGCAGGGTTT